TGCCTGCGCGCTGTTCGGAAGGACGCGCTGTGTGCGCGTAATCTGGCAGTATCTATGTCAGTTAACCTACGTATTTTCATTACGGCATATGCTGCAAAGCTAAGTCTACTCGACAATTTATCAATATGTGGGCCTCACTGTAGTTTAGGATCTAATGTTATTCCTTAAAAATACTGTGATATCCACAAGGCCCATGTTCTTATCTTTTATATTAACATTTATATCTACTTTTTTAACATTAAGTAGTTATACATTTTAGGCATTTTGTTTTTCCTATATTAAGGAGAAGATAATTTATATAAACCAATGTACTACTTAGGCGATAAAATTGTTCACATCGTCATTTAGAGGTTTAATTTTAAACAAAAGTGAAGTGTCATCCGCATAAAAAACTATTTCGTGATCATCCCTTACGAAATAATGCAAGTCATTTATGTAAATTAGAAACAAAAAAGGCATAATTTTCTTGATTTGGGTTGCACACTTTTTCAAATCCTCATAAGTTTTAATTTTTGATGACAGGTCTGTGCCGTACAGGTGGTCATCCTGGTTTACTTTTTCAATAATATTATTGAAATTCTTATCTAGTAATGGTGATATTGTGTTTTTGTTTATTAAATTATACGACAGACTTGTTGAATAGTTATTTAATTAATATATGACTTACTGTTATTGACATGACAAGTTAGTGGCGGGCCGGTGTTCTGTTGTGACAGTGTTGCCATAGATAATATAACATAACATCTCCCTTTTTATAAAGTATTTTAAATATCTAATTTAAAATTGTACCAAACAAATTAACTTAAACAAAAATGTTATAGATAACAAAACACAAGTAATTCTGCATGAAACAGAACTTTTACGTCATTTGAGTTTGACATTTTTATATTGACAGTTTGACATAACCTTTTATTATGTAAACAATACAGGAATGAAATACATTGTCAAAAATAACAATATAAACAAACTATTACATTTGTCCTTACACAGATAATTACAAACTTAATAATAAGTAATACAATGTGTTTAAAACTGAAGTTTTATATTCTTACTTAAATTTGCCTTAATTCATACAACATATCTTTTAGGAACTTTGATTTCTCGACCTGACCTACTATAATGTTTGGTGGGATCTTTTAACTGAACAGAAGAATCTGCATCAAGACTTTCAGGAGTTTTATTTAAAATATGCTGAGAATGTGATGGGGAAGGGGGACTAAACAAATAATTTGGAGTAGATGGTTTAATGATATGTTGTCTATTTCTTCTATATGTTCCATCAGGACTTTTAATTATATAAGATCTCGGCTGTGAACAAATACTTTCAACAATACCTGGGGTCCAAGAAGATTGAGGATGTTTTTGAAACATTATATGATTTCCTACATCAAGAGGATCAAGATCTTTTACATTTTTGTTATAAGATTGTTTCATTTTTTTAATATATTTATCATTATGCAATTTGAGTTGTTTATAATTACACATTTTTGGTTTTAATTCTTTTTCTAATATAGGTAACTTTGATCGAAGCTTTCTGGACATACATAATTGTGCAGGGGAACATAAATGATTTTTAGGAGTGTTTCGATATTGCAGTAAAGCCAAATAAGGATCTGTATTGTCCAATTTACATTTTTTTAGCATATTTTTAATTGTGCCAATGGTACGTTCAACTAGACCATTTGAACGGCTTAAATATGGACTAGATGTTACATGTTCAATGTTCCAATCTATAGTGAATTGTTTAAAGGCTGCAGAATTCATAGGGGGACCATTATCTGAGATTAATGTATGGGGAATACCATGACGAGCAAAAATAGATTTTAACTGAGTTATGACATGACTACTACTATTACCATTATTTAAAAGAGCAATTTCTACATATTTGGAGAAATAATCAACTAGGATAAGATAAGTTTTATGATCAAATTCAAAGAAGTCTAACCCTACCTTGTACCAAGGGATGAATTTGTAATCATGAGGCATTAAACTTTCTTTTGGGTTACTTTTTCGATATGTAAGACAAATTTCACAATTTCCAATATAATTATTTATATCATGATTGATATTAGGCCAAAAGATTGTATTTCTAGCTAACTGCTTACAACTATTTATACCTTGGTGACCTTCATGTAACAAAGTGAGAAATTCTTTTCTTAATGACATAGGTATTATAACTCTATTTGACAAAAATACTAAATTGTTTGTATAATGAATATCTTCTTTGACTGAAAAAAATGGTTTTATAGAATCTTCTACTAGTTTTTTAGTGTTGGGAAACCCATTTTTACAATAATAAATTAATTTTTGTAATGTTTCATCTTTAGAAGTAGCCTCCTCTATTTGATTAAGTTTATGTGAACTCATTGTCAGGTTTGCAATCAATAAATTGATGTGTAATTTAATATCATCTTCGAAATCAGACAATTCATTAACGGGAAGTGCTGCCCTAGATAAAGTATCAGCAATATATAGGTATTTACCTGGTTTGTATATAACATTTAGGTCATAAGGTTGAAGACGAAGCATTATTCTCTGAAGTCTAGGAGGAATTTTAAAAAGAGGTTTACTAAATAAGCTTATCAATGGTTTGTGATCAGTTTCTACAGTGATTCTGTTTCCATAAATATATTGATGAAATTTAGTGCATCCAAACAAAATAGCAAATAATTCTTTCTCTATCTGAGAATAATTTTGCTGTGACTTGGTAAGTGAAGCTGAACCATAAGCAATAGGGTTTCTATCATGGGAGATTACTGCCCCCATGGCATTTTTAGATGCATCAACAGACAAAGTTAATTGTTTCTTGGGATCAAAATAAGTTAATATAGGAGCATTGCTTATAAGAGATTTTAAAGAATTAAATTCTTTTTCATGACTGTCTGTCCAAGACCAAACTGTATCCTTGTTTATAAGCTGTCTTAAATGACAAGTTTCTTTTGATAAATCTTTAATAAAACTGCCTAGAAAATTAATCATGCCTAAAAATCTTTGAACATCATAAACACATGTAGGGCGAGGCATCTTACAAATAGATTCGACTTTAGAAGGATCAACTGAAACTCCATTTTTATTAAATATGAAACCTAAATATTTTACTTCTGACTGACAAATTTTAGATTTATCAGGGTTGAATTTCAAATCTATTTCTCTGGCTCTGTCTAACACCTGTTTTAATATTTTATCATGTTCTATTTGAGTGTTTGCATAAACTAAAAAATCATCCATCATAATTTTAAGACCCTTGATGTCACTAAAGCGTGAAACCATCTCTTTATGAAAGATTTCAGGTGCTGCATTTATGCCAAATGGTAACCTTAAAAAGCGATATCGGCCATATGGTGTTATAAAAGTACAACATTTAGATGAAGGTTCATTTAATTTAATATTCCAAAATCCTGATTTTGCATCTAAAGTTGAAAAGAACTGTGCACCATGGAGCTCTGACTTAATTTCATCAATGTGCGGGAATGGATAATGTGACCTCATTATTGCATTATTTAATTTACGTGGATCAAGACATAATCTTATAGAGCCATCCTTCTTTGACACTATTACTAGTGAGTTAACCCATTCAGTAGGTTCTGTGACTTTAGTTATGATACCAGACTTTTCTAAATTTAGAAGTTCTTTTTGTACTTTATCTTGCAATTGAAAAGGGATTTTTCTACATACATCTACACTTGGCTGACTATCAGGCTTGAGAGTTAAATTACACTCATAATCTTTAATGCATCCTATACCAGTAAATACATCACGATATTTGTTAAACCAATTCTGTGACTGTGACATACCTGACAATGACTGATTTTGATGTTTTGATTGAATGGTTGACTGCAAATGAGACTGATTATTATCTAAATCAAATGTGACATGACTAATTCTTTTTATTAGTTTCAAATATTTAGCTGATTCTCTACCTAAAATATTTTGGCAATTTGTTTTTATCACCTGAAAATCAAGTGTATATTCTTTATTATTATACTGACAAACTATCTTACCATGACCAAAAGTGGGGATGACTTGACCTGTAAATATTGTTAGTTTGGCATTACTTTTAGTTAATGATTTGACTGACAGGCCTAGACCCAAGTAAGTAGACAATGACAAAATATTTGCATCAGCACCGGAGTCAATTAATAATGATACTATACAATTATTTACTAGCAAGTTGACTTTCCAAGCATTTGACAATTCTGGTTTATCTACAAGATTTATTACAGACCCAGTGAATTGATTGTCATTTTCACTACCAACATTATCATAGAAAATAGGATTTACTATTTTAGACTTACAGACTTTGGCAAAATGATTAGGCTTATGACACTTATGACATGTTGCACCAAAAGCTGGACACTTAAACCTGTGCACTTGACCACATTTTCCACAATTTGTTTTTAATGGTGATGGTGACTTTGAGTGTGGTTTTCTTGAGATATGACGATTACGACTTTGTGACCTCGACTGATGATAGGGATTGCTTGTTCTTGCCTGACTGTTTGATTTGAACTCTTGACTATGACCTGACAGATGACTTGATTTTAAATTGGCGATGACAGACTGTTCTTGACTGTTGACTGATATGAGTTGCTTGGCTTGTTTACGACAACTTTCTAGTGATTTAGCAATATTTATAGCAGCATCTAAAGTAGAAGGATTTTCTTGAAGCAATTTCTCCTTAATATAGTAATTAGTATCGTTAAGATTCCAACTAAAAATATCTTTTAATAGGCTGTCGTGCATGGTTTCAAAATTACACTGCAAGGCAATATTTTTAAGTCTGTAATGTAAGAGTCCAAAGTTTCTTCTTCCTTTTGTTTGCGATTAAATAATTTGTGTCTCTCCATAGTAATGTTAACTTTTGGGCGAAAGTATTCAGTGAATTTTAGTTTAGACTGATTTTATCGATTTCCACATTAAATGAATAAAATATGTTCAGACAATCAGTGCCAATAAGATGGAGCAACAGTGCGACTTTTCTGTCGTCTTCAGATAAATTTTATACTTTGTTAACCAATTTTTCCAACATAATGATAAATTTGACGCAGTAGTATTCATTGGCTCAATTAATTGTAATGGAAGGCGTACTGTAGACCCACTAAATACCTGGGAAGTCTAAGACTTTGGTTCCGCCATCTTCTTGTACGCCACGTGCCGTGCCGACTTGGTGTCAACTACAAATTTGAAAACGGCGACGCGATTGCGATGACTACTTTCTGTTTATAAGTATTATGAGTTGTCGAAACCACACCTGATATTGTGTTTTTGTTTATTAAATTATACGACAGACTTGTTGAATAGTTATTTAATTAATATATGACTTACTGTTATTGACATGACAAGTTAGTGGCGGGCCGGTGTTCTGTTGTGACAGTGTTGCCATAGATAATATAACATAACAGGTGAGATTAGAGTTCTCCTTGTTTTTGAATTGAGAAAATGTATGTCTGTTAATAATTTTGATGCATCAGTCTGGTTTTTAACTGTATTGATTTTTTCAAAATCATTTTTTATTACGTGACTCACTATGGATATTCGCTATGTAGGTGCACGATGGTAGCGTCAACTAGCGGTTACAATTATGTCGAACATTGAAATGTCAAATGGTTGGCATTTAGTACGAATAGTAAGGAAACAAACAATAATTTTATTGAAATAGCGTAATTTACTGAGATTTTATTCGATTATGTAAACTTAAGGTGTCGTTAATACTGTTGTTTTTTTTTATTTTCAGTCTAAAATGCCACAATCAGTAAATTTCAGGTAATATACATGAGTTTTTTCTATGGCTGACTTTACGGAGAATAAATAAACAAATATAATCGAATAACGCATTTCATACATATTCCAGACGATCTTTTATAACTGTGGTGACATTAATAATGCAGAGTTTTTGTGTATTTTCAGTTAAATATGGCCAAATTAATTATAAGAACTGGCTTCCAAGCAATCACACACGACATTGCGTTTCAACCTCAAACGACCATAAAAGCAAAGCAATTAGTTTCGGCTCAACATGTACAAAAAATTAAATGTGGAGATCATATGAGCCACACCATTGAACCTTATGTAATTCGACAAACTTATATTGATTCTAGTCGTTATGTTACAAGTGTAAAATGTGATTGTGTGCACAATAAGAGTGGCAGATGTAAACACATTGCAGCTCTAATATACTACATTAACCACGAAGAAAGCTTTTCCAAAACCAGTGAAGAGCAGCAAAGAGGCAGACCTAGTGCCAGACAGTTTGCCAAAAAAAAGTATTCAAAAGGAAAATTTTCACTTTTCTTCACTTTGAAGAAATGTATCCACCGGCAAAGAAAATTAAGTGATCCTTGCCCTTAGATATTTTGGAATTAAAGGGACAGTCAGCATTAAAACTAATAATGGAAGCTAGTGCTTTGGGTTTTAATATGGAAGAAGATCATGCATGCATTACCAAAGTTGTTAAAAATTTAGTTGACCAAGTTGAAATTAATTTACAAATTGAAGATTGCATTGAATGTTTAAAGAACTTTTGTATTTTTAAAGAGGAGTTTGAAGTTTACAAAAGTTATGAAATAAAAATTAACCAAAATTTAAAACAATATAATGAAGAAAATATTATTATGAAAGATGAGAAAATTGTTGATTTGTGTTATAAAACCATAGAACAGTCAAAGTGCAAAGAGTGGTATACTGCCAGGAGTTTAAGAATCTCATCCAGTATGAATGTACACCATGTAAAAGCGAGGAAGTCAAGATCAATTGATAGTTTAGTTAATAATATGTTGTTCCCAAAATCAATTGATTGTGACGCTATGAAGTATGGAAAACATAATGAAAGTTATCCGCTGCAACAATATCAAAAGATTTATAACTGTCGTGTAATAAAAGTTGGGGTAATTGTGAGCAAACTTCAGCCTTGGCTATGCACACTTGAAGTTGTGACACACACACACATGATGGATGTGTTAGGAAGCTAGTAGAACTTAAATGCCAAATTTGTTGTCAAAAAAAAGCTATTGTCGACAGTAATTTTTGTAATGTGCAATATCTGGAGTTTGTTGGTGGTAACATAGAATTAAAGAAAAAACATTCATACTATACCCAAGTCCAAATACAAATGTATGTAACTGGTATGACTATGTGCGATCTTTTTGTTTATTCTCCAGTGGAGAATGGTAGTTGCACAGTAAGAGTAGATAGAGATGAACAATTTATAAAGGATGCAATTTTGAAAATTGAAGAATTTTATTTTATACAATATTTACCATATTTATTTGTTGCAATTAGTTATGAGGAAACAAATAAAATTAACAATAAACCGATTCTCCCAAAGCGAAGTTTTACTGGTAAGGACATCACTAATATATGAAAAATTATATAATTCATAATTTATTAAATGTTAATTGTTCGATTTATGATAAAAATCTTTACTATTTCTAATTTTATTATTGTGCTCTTAAATAAAAGTAATTTGCATTTTGGAATAATTTTGATTTCAATATAAAAAAGGCTTATTTATTAGAAAAGATTGGAGACTGTAAATTTACTAATACACAGCAAATATGCAAAATGCCATCAATATGAGAAAACATATTTTGAGGAATTTGTTCTTGCAGCCAACTACACAGCAGCACGCGTAGCATGACAAACTCGAGAAACGCTTTGTCTACACTCATTTGTCAGTTTCTCGGGTCGACAGTAAGATACCGTATGGGCGAACCCGAGAAAAGTGACATTTCAGTGTAGTCTATACTTTCTCGTGTTCGTCATGCTGGTATCGTGACGCATTTTACTAATTTTTGCTTAAAATGCACAAATATGTAAATTTCTTAAGTAAAAAGTGACATTTCGTCCGACAGAGTTTCCGTTTTAGCCACGGTGCGCGCTGCGATCGATTCGTGTTCTCCCACCTCCTACTTCGCATCCAGCGAATAGCAATGCCTATTTGGTGTTGTAAAATTTCTATGCTCTTATCTCTAGTTTTAGAATTTTCGGTCATAACATTTCTGACTTCATCATTGAGAATAGGCCTCAAGCAATTGACAATTTTCTGGTAATTTGTGTATTTTTAAAAGTTCCTCTTTTTCGCTTTTCTCCAGACCATTTATCAGAATATAGTTCCATAGAATATATTTCTTGTTGGATTTGGCCTTCAAATTTGTTATTATCTGAATACTCTGTACCTAGGGCTTCTTTGAACCCTGCTACTGGATCTTCTAAATGGTCGTCCGTATCTGTAAAAGGATACTGTCGGTTAGATTTGCACATACAAGTATAACTGCGTATCTCGTATGACATGTATAACCTTTGTAACATGTATAACATGTATGCTGGGTAAAATTGGATATAGCGTATCACGTACGGTATATCGTGGTATCTCGGTACGGCTCTCACCACATCAAAGCTGTGGTATCACGTACCAAGTTTGATCTTCGTGCTAAGACAGATATCTCGTACCAACACGCACGGGACAAGGTTATTTTGTCTGGATTTTTCACTATGAGGAGACTATAATCTTATGCAGTTACTTGATAAAATTAACATGGGGTGTTGCTCCGAATGTGGAGACGGCGTTACTGGACTCCTACTTCGAGTATGACTTCGTTTCCGATGTAGTCGTCGCAGGCGTCTTTCGTACTTTTCGATCCTTTTTCGTAACTTTCACTCTGAAGACATGTTTTTCTTATCGACAAAGGAAAAAAACACTAACTCATTAAGAATAAAGCCTATACAATAATGAATAACGAATTTTTCCGATACGAACCAACGATGCCGGCGAACACGCCAAAGAAAAGTGACAGTGAAGAGTGGTGCCATACAGTGGATATCTTTTATCTTTTTTTTAACTCGAAACCGCGACGCCAATGAATGACGAATAGAAATACTACACTGTTAATAAAATTATATTTCAGATCAATGTGAAATAAAATTTCTGTTTAAATTTTAAGTTTTATTTGAGTTTTCATGTATAATGCAAAAAAATTTGTTAATTTTAGATTTGTGATGATAGGCAGTATATAATAAAATGTTAATCCCAAATTTGGTGGAGCAAACCAAGACTCTTTTATATAGGAAAATAGTGATATTCATGAATATATGCAGTCATTAAACAGGAATAGTGAAATGATCTGGTTTATTAGGTAAAGTTTACATTCACACTTTAAAATATAATTATTGTAGCTTATTTTTTCTCAATTCGTTATTTTTTATCTATAAATAAGATGTCCATAACACAAAATCATTTTTTAAATTTTTTAAGTTCGTTGAAAACGAAATATTTAAATATTTTAATAACTACTGTAAAATGGTAGAAATTTTATTACATTCTGTTATGTCTGATAGATATAATAATTATGAATTACATTTGTTAACTACTAGGCAAATGTTACCTTACTTTTTCTCTATGAATCACACGAATTACATTCGCGGAGTGACCCTTTATTTACAAGATATGATACAATTATCTTCAGAAGTTGTACATGATATGAAGAGAGGAATGCTGTCAGTCAAACGAACGGAAGGTAAATTTAATGCAGTGAGCCCCGATTTAGCGTTAGAATAGACTCAAAACAGATCTGCAGCAGTCATTGGAGGTTTGATTGGCATTAATATGAATGAAGATGCGATGCAGAGATGGGTGCGCCTTTATCCTTTTAAAAACAGTATTCACGAGGCTCTTTCTTCATATCTTGGAATACAAGTAGACTCTACAAGTGACATTAATTGTCATAATGAATGGACGCAACCCAGGATAAATAAAGATGAAAAAGATATTCAAAATATCATAAAGTATTTCAATGCTTGTAATCCTTACAATGACAACGTCAACTTACTGATGAATCATCTTCGCAATGTTTGTTAAATATTGTAGAAAATGGAGAAGCTATGTTAAGTACGTTCGAAAATGAGCGATCTATTCAGAAAAATAAAAAGTTATCCGATCCTATTAAAAAAAGTAAATTTGACAACTTTGTAACAGCTTCTGAGAAAGGAAGTAAAAATACTTCTAGTAAAAAGTTGATGAAGATGAAGATGCAACAGATATAAGTATCTAACAAAAAACATTTATGTTGGCTAATCAACGAGAATTTGACACAAAAATTTTAGCATCTTACGAAATTTTGGAGTACTGCAAGTACCATATTGACGCAGAAGGATTTTACAGAAAATCTCCAAAATCGGAACTTGCTCATGAAATTGAAAATAATTATAAATGTGGTACAAACACGCGGCAGGACGTTTTAAATTTACAAGCTCCAAAAAAATATATTGTTGATGGTATGGCACTTGTTCATTGAATCCAATTAAAAAGTTTCAACACCTTTGGTGATTATTTTTTTCTTGCAAATGTAAAACGAGTAGATATTGTATTTGACAGATTTGATAATATTTGGTTAAAATATTTGAAATCAACTTTACGGAGTAAAGGTCAAAATATTATAAATTTTATAATTTCAAATGATCACACTAAAATTCCAACTAATTGTAATAATTTCTTTTCAAGCACTGAAAATAAGTTACAGCTCGTTTGATTTCTCTGTACTGTTGCTCCTAAATATGCAAAAGTAATAGAATATTGCGAATCATATGTTTGTGGAGGATTTGATGAGCCAACAAAATGTTTTACTCTTTATTTTTTGAAGTACCTGACTTAAATTCGAATCATATAGAAGCAGATTCAAGGATGTTTTGTCACATATTTCACGCAGTAAAAAAGCATTCTGGGCATATCATAATTCTTGGCGCTAATACAGATGTTTTTATCCTTGGAATTCATTAATGGAATAATCTAGCACGTCTAGGTTGTTTAGGTCTATGGCTTGAAGGTTCTTATAAGAAGAAATACATTTCAGGGTGTCATATTGTTAAAATGTTGAATAGTACCCTTTACATAGAAGTCTATGTATAATGAGGAGCGTTGTCTATGCCCTTCTTCCTGTTTTGACGTCAAGCTGCAATGACGTATATTTTTGTTAGTTCGCCATATGATTGTTTAAAATCCGAGTTTTGCTAAGTAATTATATTAAGAAATATTGTTATGTATTTCAAGATAAAATACAGCAGTTGAACTGAGGCTCGCCGAGTGATTATTTCTTTTCCCATCCACCAAACGTGCTGCTGAGAACGATACGACTGACGCTTATCTTTGCATCACATATACGTGCTCAATCTCTTGGCGAAAACATTTCTCGTGTTTTGCCAGCATTACACTCTCTAAGTGGTTGTGATTCGACTAGCAGATTTGGCTCGAAAAAAATATAGTTTAAAAGCTGCATCGTTGAATTTTGTGCAAAATGCTCTAAGGTGTTTAGGAAATCTATACCTAACAGTCGAACAGTTAACAGAATTAGAAAACAATCGCACCTCTTTTTTCTAAAAAAAAAAAAAATGACTGTTGTGAATTAAATTGTTAAAATATCGGCTTCGGCTTAAATTCATTTAAAGTAATTTGCACATCAGAAGCTTTACATTTACATTTGTTAAAAGCTTCAGCACAAACATATATATGGATAAATGCTGACCAAACATTACTACAGCCTATTGATTACACCTTATTAGGCTATGAAGATAAAGATGGTAAATTGTATCCACGACAACTGACAAAGCGACCTTTACCAGAATTGTTGATTCAGCCTTGCAAATGTACATCTAATTGTCAAACAAAGGCTTGTTCGTGCTAAACATTACAATTAAATTGTATTTCATTTTGCAAATGTATCAATAATGACTGCCAAAATAAAAAAGATTGATTATTTGTATTTTTTTTTTTGTGTGAGTTATGTTAAAATGTCCTTTTAAATAATTTTTTTATCAAAAATTACTGTTTTTATTTTAACTTTTTTTAATTAACTAACTGAGGGATTCTAAAGTCTAGATTCAAAAGCGCCTCTGTCCAAA